GTCGTTGTCGTTGCTGTTGCCTGTGCCGCTGTTGGCGTTGCCGCCGCTGTTGCCGACTTCGTCCTTGTTGTTGCTGTTGCCTGTCTGTGATGCTGCTGCTGCTGCTGCCGCTGCCGCCGTTGTTGATGTTGTTGATGATGTTGTTGTTGTCGTTGTTGCTGCCGCTGCCGCTGCCGCTGCCGCTGCCGCTGCCGCTGCCGCTGCCGCTGCTGCTGCTGCTGCTGCTGCTTCTGCTGCTTTGCAGTTAATGATGTGCAGCATTAATTATTACCCCTACGCTTGCGACGCCCGCGAAAGCACTCAGTCTTTGTCGGCGCTAGCACTGTCGCCGTCACCGCCCCCTTGTTCTTACGAGCATCGACAAGTATCTTAGCAGTGGTGACAACTTCCCCAAGCAGAGAAGGGCATACTCTTGGCGGTCTTCTGGTTGGCTCTTAGGACTTTAACTTTTTGGGTTTCTATATTAACCATAATAAGGAGGCTAAAAGTTTCGCTTTTAGGAGGGGTTCAGAAGTCAGCCAAGTATAGTCTCCATACTTGCAAAGACTTCACGTCTGCAGGATCAAAGAGCCTTCGACTACGCCAAGTCCTGTAAGCCCCAAACCTGAAGCCCGAAGGTGATCTGCTGAGCACAGCAGCAAAAGAAGTACGGGACTTTAACTCTAAGTGTCTAAGTAGTACGGTCTATGCCCATTCTGACTGTAATCATCTGTAAAAGCCCCTTCAGCATATCAAGTTCTAGTTGGAAAAGCCTCTACGGTTTCCAACCCTGTAAGAACTCTCAAATAGCCTAGTCCGAGTAGTCAGGCTTAGTGACCCTAAACCCTACACCCTAAACCCCAAAGCGTTCTGATGGACAGGCAGGAGCCGCCCTGCCTACCTGCGGCTACGCAGCACAGCGAGAAGCTGCAGGACTTCTTGCAGCAGGTGGGGTTTAGGGGTTTAGAACCCTAAACCCTTAAACCCTTAAGCCCTAAACTTCGGGTTCAGGGTTTAGGGTTTATTAGGGCTTTGGGGTTAGAGCGTCTCAAGCCCTACGGGCTTGCAGTTGAAGGCTTTATCTAGGGTTTGAGGGTTCAGGGGTTGAATTCGGGATTGTACGATACCGAAACCTCGTTTGGAAAACGTAGACAAGATTTGGATCCGGAGAGGGTTGGCGAGATGATATGTATGGTCCCAGTGTAAGCTCGTCATGACAAAGCAAAGCTCCCAGGGTAAGAAGGGACCCTATATACCCGTAATATAGCTATTATATACCCATTCTATAGCCCATTATAGGGTAGGGGTCCCCATTAAGGGTCCCTCCTTTTCCCCTTTGAAAAGCCCAATGTTGAAGGGCGGCTGCTGTCCGACCTGGCAATGGCCGGTACTGCATAGACTCCAAGTCCCGAAGGATCCGAAGAAGGCATAATCTACTTGGAGGTTCAAGGGTAGTTTTAAGGGTTCCTGTAATGGTCTCTTTAAAGGGATCTATAGGGATTCTATAAGGGCAGAGGGTTTAGAGCTTACTTGGAGGTTTATAAGTAGGGTAGCTATACCTAAAACTACCCATGTCAGGGGACTTATAACCCCACCTATAACTGAGTCAGCCCTACAGTCCCTGTAATACTGTTGATGATATAAATCCTGCATTACCGTAAGAACCCTAAACTCTGGGATTTACGGTATATTCCTTATTATGGGGAATGCAGGATTTATATCATCAACAGTATCAAAGTTCTTCTAGTTTTGTACACCCCAGACCTTCTCCTGATTGCTCATGCCCCTATATTACGCCCTGCAGGCCCTGCAGAAGAACCCAACGGTGCGGCCCGGCGCGGCCTCCATGAAGGTGCGGATAAGCCTTTGTAGGGTTTAGTTTAGGGTTTAGGTTTTGTTGAGGTATGTTCGGGTTTCGGCTTCGTCCCGCCGAGCCCTTCACTCGTATAAGCCTAGAAGCAGCTTCAACGAAGTAGGGCTGAAGATAAAACCTATTGACCTCTGAGCGAGCTTGGCGCTACAAAAGGGTCCTCGTCTTAGCGAAGACCGACGTCTGCAATCGAGCTTGGCGTGTTTGCTTGCTGAGATATAGTTTTATAGTTTTTTGTTGAGGATTAAGTAGCTTGTTTTTGTTTGATTGGGTGTGTTTTGTTGTTGTTCTCAGGATTCCAGAAGCTCCCTCATATCTGTAGTATCGAGGGCTGTTGTAGTCGGACACTACAAGAGTGGTTGTCAAAATTATTGTCCCTTGTTGGGTCCCTAATATAGTACGGCACCTAATATTTAGGGTTCCCGAAAAGGGACCATAATTTTGACAACCACCCATAAGCCAGTAGTGTCCCGTTGAACCTGAGACTTGGTGTGCTTGTAGAGGCCTGGGTCGTCGCCTCCACCCCTATGCCCCGTGCGCGAAAACCCCTGAGCCCGGAATCCCTCACAGAGCTATATTACATTATACGGTTTAGAAATGAGGGTTAAGTGTTGAAAAGGATGGTCGAAACTCTGCACACGAACGAAACCCCGGAACTGCGCAAGGCGCACCCGTGGCTGCTGGGGCGTGCAGAGGGCTCGGCGCGCCTTGTCGAGCCCGGATGCCTAGCACAGAAAGAGATCTATCCCTGGGAGCCAAGCCGCAGGGTCCAAGTTTAATTCATGTATTTAGGGGCCTCAATAATTGGAAAAGGATTTTGGCTGTTCCTTATTATAAGTATAGTATCGTATATCCCCAAACCTTATTGAAATCATTAAGGCCCCTTCTCTTGGTCCTAGGACTGAGGTTTAGCCTTTCCAGTCCATGGCCGGCGTAGGGGTTCAGGTTTGAGATTTCGGATAGAATCTGCTTGGCTTTTTTAAAAATACAGGTCCACCCACATTTATTTGACACTGAAGCCCCATAAACACTCTAAATGCCTAAACCCTTATTCTAGTTGGGGGGGTGGGGGGGGGGGGAGGTGGGTTCGTTAGGGCAGCTAGAAAACACACATGTGGTTGAGGTCCTGCGCAGGCAAATTAAAAGTCCCGGCCGGCTAAGCCCCAAAACTCCATGGGTTCAGATCTTGATAATCAGAAGTGAACAGAGGTTGCACAGGGTATGTGCGGCTTAATGACTACATTCTGCCGGAAATTACACGCCTTTCCCCTCATTTCCATGCATATGTAGCATGCACAGGTTGGCGACTTGGATTGCGGAGACACCGGATGAAGCAACTGCATGGTCCCAAGCATCTTTGTCCGTGTTGTAGCTTTCAGTAAGTGTCCATGTACCCAAATAGTATAAACTTTGGCCCCAATGTACCTATATAGGGATTACTTTAATGCTAATGTATATGCTATTTGGGTACATGGACCCTGAGTGTTTTCTTTCTGAAGAGCTCTTAGACTTAGCATCACAGGAAGTAGGCTACATTACGGTCCCGACAGGCCTATCTAGGTCTTTGAGGAGCATTGCATGTTTATGGGGCTTTCCCTTCTCTGGGCACCAGCAAATATATCTTACATCTTAGGCGTGTAGATGGGTGGGTTCTTTTCGCGATACTAGAATGAGCCAAACTCTGTCTTCTAGGAGTCTACTGAAGCGGGGCGCTTCTCAACTTCTGGTGAATGGTTTTACATGCTGCAGTTTGTCCTTCAGGATTTGTTGCTTCGAAGATGGCGCGACTCGCAATTGTAGGGTTGAGGTTTTAGGGCTTTTGAGCTCTAAAAACTGAACCCTAAATCTGACAGTTGTGAACCTAGTGCCGGAAGCCTTCATGCCTTAAGCCATTTCACTTCAAAGCCCTGAAGCCCCAAACCCTGAAGCTATCAACCCTGAACTGCACATGCTCAGCACAGCACGCCCGCGAGTGCAAACCCGATGAGCTTAAAGCCCGTTGTTCTGAACCTGTGAACCCATAAAGCTTTCATTTCTCGACGAAGTCTAGTTACGAACGACCTACGTTTAAAGCTGATGTAAGCGCTTATATATGTATATAACCATATAACATATACATATATGGAGTGAGGGAGCGACAAAGAGAGAGGGAGAGAGAGAGAGAGAGGGAGACAGAGGGAACATGAAAGACCCTCCAAGCGCGCACTGGCATAAACCCTACACCAATAACTTTTGTTACAACTAATGCTCGAGTAAGCACAGTCCCGCCAGCAAAAGAACACAAAATGACATACACTAGCTCTTTCTTAGCTCCCTGTTATTACTGCAACAGATAGGGCTGTTTTCACCAGCTTGTCAGGTCAGACTGTCTTACTAGAGGACTCCAAGACCTTCACAACGAAGATCAGGAGAACCTAAGCCTGCGTACCAATAATGCTGGTAATAAGTAACTTAACAACAACGGAAAACAAGCATTATTGTAATTATAGTAATCGTCATAATCGTAATAGTAGTAAAAATACCGACCGCATCTAAAAAGCAACAAACAATTATACAAACCCATAAGAACAACAACAATAAAGAGTAGCCTCACATGCAAAACCGAGGCCAAGCCTGGTGGATTGGGCAGGCCCGCTGCTTCGGCCTTCGTTTTTGAACGCCTGTGATTGTCTTAGCTGTTGGGTATAGAGTAGGGTTTAGGGTTTTGGGGTTTCCGGGGGGGTGGTTCAGGTTTATGGTCTGGGTTAAAGGTTTAGGGTTTAGGGGTTTCCGGGAAGGGGTTTAGGGGTTTGAGGTTTTGGTTTTAGGGATCTTAGGTGTTGTCTTAAGTAACCTTTAACCTTTTGGGGCCTTGGGGTATAGATAAATAAGTTATATAGTAACCATAAACTAAAAGGCTAAGCTGGTTTGTCTTGCAAGGTAAAGCAGCTCTGTCATTAAGCATCGCCAGAGCGCGGTTACCGGCAATATGTGCAAGAGCTTTGTCTTCCGATCTCCCTTTTGGGGTGAGATCTGGACTGCAGTAAGTTATGAAGCACGGCTCAAAGCAGACTTGAACATCGCACTTTCTCAACACTCCGCATGGACTCGTAAGAAGTTACTGCCGGCCGGAAGCACTTTGCAAGGGATCGAGTTCATCACCCCCTCGGCCATGGGATCGGGAGGCTCCAAGAAATCCTCCGCGAAAGCCTCTGAGCCCGTTGCCGAGACGACCCCAGTCCAGGTCGGAAAAACATGAAATGGGGGGGCGACTTTATAAGGCTCTATTGTATGAGTATAGTGTGGGGCCTGAAAAGGGTTCTGGTATACTATGGAGCCTTTATACGGGGGAGACTATCAGAGTATGGGGCTCTTAGCAGGGGTATACTTTGTTAGTAAGGAGGTATACTATAGCATAGGGCCTTATGGCGCGGTACATTATCGTACAAACATAGTAAGGAAGCCTAAGTCTTTTTTTATGGTAAGTCGGCAGGCCCTGCAGTGTTCTGTTGTATCGCCAGGTGGAAGTGACATCTTCGGAGAAGCCCTCTGAAGCCGTTGCAGAGAAGCCAGCCGAAGCCGTTGCAGAGATGCCTGCAGAAGCTATGGCTGAAGGGCCCTATCAGATCGTGGACCCACCTGAGGACTTCGTGGTGGAAGGGCTTAAGGTTTCCGGGCCAGCACTGATTATATGATTAGTATTAAAACTAGTATCAGGATTTGAAGGCTTACTGCTATTGTTGCTATTATGGCTGTGATGACAGTTTCGATTATGACCGAATAGTAGCAAGTAATGTTGCTTTTTGTTGTTGCGATGCACTGAAGATGCCGGTTGCATGTCTTGCAATGCTCCGAGCGATGGAGCAGGAAGCGAAACATATACAAGCTTTAGGTTTTAGGGTTTAGGGTCGGACTTAGTTTTTGGGTTCTCACCGGAGCTGCTTTGGACACCAATGCGAAGCATGTGTAGGCAACCTCATTCGTAATTTTTGGCTGTAGGTGTTACCTGATGTTTGAGGCTTCATCTTATGGTCGCTGCATTCACCGCCTTTTGGTTTGCTGGTTGTTCTTGGTATCCCAAACCCTACCTATTGTCTCCATTGTAGTTCCTGTTTTTGGTTTAACCAATTACATACTAAGGATCCTACATGGTAGCCCCTGAAAGGAACTACAATGGAGACTACAGGTAGACACTGAACCCAACAAGTACATGCCCAGGTTTGTGGTGGCGCTGTCGAAGAACATGGGGACGTTCGCGGCGGGAAGGTTCCTTTGAGCTGTTCAGAGACTCCAATATCCCATAGTTACGGAGAATCCCTTAAATCATAGTAGGATCCCTAATAGCGTAAACCCTACCCCTCATCTAGAATCGTTTGCAGACCTTGCCTGGCTTTGCCCGAGTGTGAGTGTCAAAAATCCTTAACCCCTAAACCTTCAAACAGCCTGAACGGCAACCCTCTACCAAGGTATTGCAGGTTGCCAAGCATCCGGCGGAGCACATGATGCAGTACTGGCTCAAAGCTGCTCGGATTGGAATGTATTAATTCGTAAGAAATTGGGCAGGTAAACTTGAATACAAACCTGGGTTTCAACAGGCTGGTTCCTCTTGTCTAACTGTCAATGCTATGTTTATTCGTGCTATTAGTAGTCTGAAGATGTCGCTGTCAGGATTTCATGTTTTCATGTTTATCATTATATATTCGCATCATGTGCAATATTCTCACTGTTATGACTTGTATTAAGTGTATTCTATTCTTATTATTGACTACAAAAACCCATGATTAATACTAAATACCATTATTAGTTTAATTGTGTCACTGTTACTGTTATGGGGGTTTAAGGGTTAGGGTTTAGGTTCAGGGTCAGTGCTTATAAGGAGGGGTTTAGGTTTACTTATAGTCTCCACTGTAGTTCCTTTTCCTGGTTAAACCAAGTTTATAGTTAGGATCCTATAAGGAAACCCAAAAAAGGCACTACAATGGAAACTATGGCTAAATCATACTAGGGATCGCATATTACAGTAAGCCCCATAAAGTTGGAAATCGGATTAAGGCCAGACAGTGCCGGGATTCCCTCCACATTACTCTTAAGGATTAGGGCTATTGGTTTCCAACTTTTTGCCTTCTACCGTAGGGATCGATCCTTTGTACTGTAACATCAGCGATGCATGCCCCTGTCGTGCATGTGCATACGCACTAGTGCATGAATGCAGAAGTGCATGCATGCGAACAAAGGGAGAACATGCATGTATTATGTAGTCAGGGAAGGTGCCTGTCCTTTCGTAGTGATGATCTGAGGAGGTCTATCTAACCACGTAACCCTAAGGGTCCATGTACCAACATAGTATATACTTTGGCCCCAATGTACTTATATAGGGACTACTTTAAGGCATATGTATGTACTATTTGGGCACATGGACCCTCTGGGTAATGCAGCATAACATGAAGAGTGCAGGCAATGAGGTCCGACAGTGGGAGCCCTGTGTTTGGCAGCGCAGCTGAGGTCGAGTATGGACCTTCGGAAATCGCTTTCGTTCACATGCTCATGAGTTGCGGCTGGAGCTCCAATCACGTGCTCCGAAACGTTGGAGACGCTTCTTTTCCTCCGGACCCCCCAAGCATGCCACAGCCAGAAGCGGATGCTCCACAAGCTCCAGCGGCGGATGTCGAAGTTCTCACCGGAGAGGAGCTCTACAAGATCGCGGATCCTCCCGAAAGCTTTGTAGTGCAGGGCCTCCAGTCCTGCGCCGGAATGGTTGCTGAACGCGAAGACATACAGAACGCAAAGGTGGTGAAGGTGGCTAAACACCCGTCGGAGGGCGTCATGCGCTATTGGCTTCAGGTTGCCGCTTGGATACTTTGAGAGCAGCTTGTGTAGCCTGACCTTTGGTCCTTAACATCTGAAGCTCTGAGGCGTACCCAGAAAGATCATCATTCTATTTCATATTAAACTGTATCATATTCTGTACTATCTTAGACTATGCTCACTGTACTACACTATACTGTACTGTACCAAGGAGTATGGAGATCGCACTGCCTTTGTTCACATGCTCATGAGCTCCGGATGGACTTCCAACCTGCTCATCGAGGATGTACCTCGAAAGGAACATGGGGCCTTCAGGGTTTCGGGGCCAGGCGACAATAATACGTTTCGGGGTTCAGGGTTTAGGGTTTGGGGATCCAGGATGTCAGCTGTGAACTTTTGTGAGTCGATGTAGGCTTGTCGATGCGGTCAAGTCGTGTTCATTTTGAGCGCTTGGCGCGCATGCCGGGCAAGAACGCATTTTCTCCTCTCGCGACAAGATAGAGCCCAAACCCCTAGCATCCTAAACCGTCAACCCTAAAACCACCTTGAACTGTCGCCTAACGTTCGTTTTCTTTCTTCGGCTAAATACTTTGGAACCTCTGACAAGGTCGGTGATGCAGAGTTTCCTCCAGACCCTCGCAACCTCCCTAGCTCCAAGCCCGCGGTGCCTCTGCCGGATCTGAAGCCGGCCGACTACGAGCAGGACAACTGCAGCCACAAATGGCCACCGCTACTGCCATTTTCATCACGACTACTACTGCTGCTGCGGCTCCTACTACTACTACTACTACTACTACTACTACTCCTGCTGCTGCAGCTGCTGCTACTACCACTACTACGACTGCTGCTACTACTACTACTACTACGACTACTGCTGCTACTACTACTACTCCGACCACTACTAACACATTTAATGTTAGCCGTTCCATTACGAGTGTTGTTATTTTTCTGTTAGCTCTAGCATTAGGCTTGCTTATGGTATCAGGACTGGCGACATTACTTCCCATGACTTGTTGTATTTAAACTGTGTCTTTGGACGCATCGTGAGCCTCACCTGATGTTTGCAGTGGCTGGAGTCGAAACCCCAAACGCGACAGCAAATCCCAATCTGTATGTTATTGGGGCCGACCTGAATTAATGCAGGGGTCGAAATAATTACTGATACTATTATGGGGGTTCCTTATTCTACTTATCCCCTATTCTATAATGATTCAGGCCCCGATATTATAGTACACTTATAGATCCCTTCTAGTATCCCTAAAAGACTCCCTTTAAAGCAGCCCTATTCTAATGATTCAGGCCCCTATATTATTCTTAGCGCATTCCATGTCACACAGGAGTTTGTCGACCCGTCTCACCTCGAGGCGATTGCTACCAACGAGGACTTGAAGAGAGTGTTCCCGGAAGCCTCGAGTGGCTTGACAACTCTCGGTTTAGGGTTTAGGGTTGGCTCTGGGTGAAGCTAATGCAGCTGCTAACAGTATACATATCGGAGTTTCCGACAGTGAGGGGTACCTCATTTGGGGGTCTTTTTAATCAGGATCCTACCATTTTGGGTTCTAGATTTGGGTCCCTTATTATCGGAAACCCCATCTCATATGGCACATGTAGATACGTCTAGACCAATGTAGGTGTGTGTATGTATACATATATTCATGTGTAGACGCATGCATCTACACATGCTTCCAAACTGAGGATGCGGAACATACTTTCCCTATTACGGTGTTGGTATTGTTCATGTTTCGCCTTAACCGTATAAACAACTGTTTTGAGCTCGGCACGTCCTTTGCAGCCAAGATCATATGGCAATTGTGTACTTATACCAAGCTCCTGACCTTTAGGCCTTGTCCTAAACCCTTAGCCCTATACCCAGGTGGACAAGTCAGGAGCATTTGGCGTGGGCCGAGTGGCTTCTGGCTAGAAGTTTCCGTTGCGGTCCCAGTCTTTGTCCTTTGTGAGGGGTTTACGGCTTTAGGGCTTCTCCTCTGCACCGACTCTGCCAAAAGCCTGACCAAAGCGACATTCACTTCAATCTGGTTTCCCTCGCATCAAGGTTCAAGGGTTTAGGGCTTCGGGCTTGGATGGGCTTGCGTGGGTCCTTTTGTGGTGATGGAAGAAGCGGCCATGCTGGCACCGTCCCACGTTTTAGTTCCCAGCTTTTGTCGGAATTTCAGGCGGAAGCCGAGGATGAACCCGCCCGCTACGGCGCCCACTTCTTCGAGATTGAGGAAGGAAGCCAGAAATACACTCTCACCTGCGCTGTGAAGTTGGCAGAAGGAGAGGACTTCCCTCCCGAGCCCCGTGCTACAAAGGGAAGGGCGGTAGCACTCGCTGCCTGAGGGTTGGTAGATGCCCTGGCCTCTTGCATAGGGGGTTTTGTTGCAAACAGCACCCATAGATCACTAGCGGCACTTGGAGCAATGTTGGAGACTTAGTTGACTTGCAGATCCCAAAGTAAACGTGGAAGGCCCGTGTTGTTTTGTGTGTGTGGAGCGTCCATCGCTCGCATGGCGACACGGCCAAACGGTCTCACTGCGCGACTGCCTTAAGGCAGGAGTTCGCAATTTGCTGATGCATGCGAACGACGTGTACAGCTTCGCGCGAGAGGATGTGACTTTCTTTGCACGCTCGCTTTTCTCTTGAAAAGAAGCAAGAATTGCTGCGTGCATGGTCGAGTTCAGCTAGTTCGTGTCCTAAGGGTCCCCCAAACCCTAATTACCCATAGGCCGCCATAGGCCCCATAGTAGCTCCTTGTTGGGATTACCTTATAGGATTCTACTTATATGAACCCCAAGGAGGAACGACTTTGGGGCCTATCTCGTTGCCAGGATGAGGCGACTGCGCAAGGCCAAGCACCCATAGCACCCAAGCCTGGTAAGTGCACACCGACGCACCCCGCCAGAATCATCGATTTTGTGGGGGTTCTGCTTGGAAACCAGAAGCCCCTGCATAACCACAATGGAGCAGAGATGAACCCGTTGGATTATGGGTTATCTATATCCAGCTCCTGACATCAAACGTTGGATACCCTATGAGCCCTAACCGCATTGCATGATGGTTTAAATCGGCCATCAACACATTCGATTGGCTGCTTTTTGCAGACATTCATATGCTTGGGGTCCTTATGATAAGGATCCTACTATTTAGGGTGCTCTATTAGGGTCCCCCATTTTCGGAAATTCCCATATCGAGCCCCAATAAGACCTCCAAGCAGCCTGTGGGTTACGGCCATAGAGTACAAGCGACTCTATGGTTCATGTGGGTGGTTGTCAACATTAGCGTCCCTGTTTGGGTACCCTAAAGAATAGGTGCCGTGTTATAGTAGGACAACTACCCATGTGCAAAAAAATCATTACGATTCGAAACCCAATCCCAAGCCCACCCTAAGCCTCAAATCCTGATGAGTTTAGGCGCCTGGGTTTAGTGGCGTTCACAGAACTACTCCGAGCCATTGAACCTGCCCCAAAGCCCCAGAGCCAACATGGTACGCACTGCAGAAGCACTTGTTTCTGCCAGATGCCAAATCCAGAGCCCTGAAGGACTAGCACTAGGATCATATGTAACTTTTGGAACGAGCGCTATAATAGCTTAACCAATGCTTAGTCGTGTTTTGAGAGGTCCCATCGTCATGGGCCAAATCCATTTCAGGCTGCAGGAGGAGAGTTGCCGTTCAGACCTGTCGTCTCAGCGTTCGAGCTTCATGTTGAAAGAGCTCGTTTAAGATGTCAGGGGCCTGGTGTAGCTCTACCCAGTTTAACTGATTCTAGGAGGTTGGTGTCCTCAAGTATTTGCTTATTTTGCCTCTCTTGAAACATGTAATGGTGTTTCGAATCCAGCCCCTCTTTGAGGGCTTGTAGGACTGCCGATCCCTTCGTCAGAAGCCATGTTCGGGATGCGTTTGTTGTGGTAGCTGCCCAAGTGGCCAATGGAAAGGGCTGACTATACTATCGTTCCACACCGGTCCGTATGTACATATGTATATATATATATATATATATATACATACTATATATATATATATATGTATATATATATATATGTAAACATGTATGTACATTAGTGTTTTGGACTGTGTGTGTAGAGCCAGAGAACTGGGTAGGCTTCCACCAATCTGCAGCAATTGCATCTAACAGATGACATGATGACGTTGATCCTTCCTCACTGGCCAGTCACAGAGAATGTCTTGCAGAGAACTGACTTAGGCACCCGTTTTCGGATTGAGAAAGGTGGGATAGTAGTTCTTCGAATGCGAGCAGCCACAGGGCGTAGAGTTTTCCACCTCAATACAGGCATCTAGCTGGCCTTCAGTTTTATGTTTCCATGACCATCTGCATGCTAAAGGATATCTACAACTCGTACAGCATAATTTGAATGAGACTGAACCCACCCCAAATCCCCGCGAAGAGGATACTCTGCAAAGCCACCCGTCACAGCCTCGGGAAGAGAATGGCATGTGCAATTCTCGCACCTGCTGTCAGAGCTCTGCGCTCTACTATGGTCTACTATAACGTACTGTGTACTATACAATTATAATGTTAATGGACTGCATAATCCATTATCGTATACTTTAGTATACGTATGCAGTCCCAAAGGACCCAAGTACCTCTATAGCAGACTCTAGGGTTTCCGTATTAGGAATTACTATTATGATTTGGGGAAGTATTCCCCCAAACAGTATATACCTGGGACGCTTTGGGAGTTACAACATTCCATCAGTTCCTTTTTAGCAGCTCCGGGGCCTCAGGCTGCGTCTCCGGAGCTCGAAGACGGATTGCTGCGCTTTTGAGTGAATAGGACTCCTTTGAAGGGCTTCTTTAAAGGGGGTCTGTAAGGGTACTATATAGTTTAGGGGCCTTAATAGTTTGAATAGGGTTCGCGGGCACACTCTAGCCCCAAGGGTCCAAAGGACGCAATAATTAGGTACTTGGCTTTAGGATAGTAGTTCTGTAGGTCAGGATTTCGGAGAGTATAGTTATTGGGTACTTGGACCTTTGGGGTAAATGCCCGAAGACTCCAAGTAGCCCAAAGAAGGTACCATTTGTAGACCTTAGACCGCAAAGTAGGTACTGCTTCTATACTTGGAGTCTTAGGGATAGTGCTTATAAAGTGTAGGATGTAGGGATCGGAGCTTGCAGAGCACGCTTGATAGGCGACAGCAGCCCTTGTCCCCGAGGCCATCTAAACGCATGGCACAAAGTAATTAGTCTAGAAAGCGCATAGCCCATCTTCATGCATTTTTACATGAACTGGCCCCTTAAGAACCCCCAAGCCAACAAGACCTAAATTCCAAACCGACAAATGTTAAGGGTTTAGGGCCCTAAACCCTAAGCCCTGAACCCTAAGACCCTAAACCCTAACAAACCCTAAACCCTAAAACACCCTAAACCCCAAAGACAGAAACTGCCCCGGTCTCCAGAGGCCGAGAGGCCGCAAGAAGATCCGAAGCCCCCGTTTGGGCCTCACAGTGCTTCGGGGTTTGGGGTTTAGGGTTCCTTTGAAAGGCATCCTTATAGGGATCTCGGAATCTATAAGTTAAGGGATGTTGGAGTTCGTTTGGGGTATTCGCCTCACCGGAGAGCCTAGATTCGTGACAGGAACTCCACCCCTTTGAGCTTTCGATGCCTGGTATCTTGCTCGTCGTGCGAGTTCTGAGACCACCCACCCAGGACTATACATAATGTACAGTGTAGCATCTTTCAAATTTCATCTTTTGACACCACAACGGCCGGGTATAGGCCGGCATTTGACAGCCGGATGACTGCTGTTATTGAAGCGAGCTTGTGTTGGTTGCTCATGTACTTCCTTGCCAGCCGACGACGCGCGCGCGTTATCTTTTTACTACGTTGCGAGAGTTGTCCGAGTGCGAGTGTCAAAACCCCAAACCCCGAGCCCCGCGAGCTTCTAGCTTCTTTGCCTCGCGCGTAAAGTCACCGGTAAACGGTAGTTCCAAAAGCAGCCCCAAAGAAGCTCCGAATGAAACTCTGTAGACCTTAAATCCAACCCCGCTAAATAAGAGGCAAAAACCCAACCCCCCCTTCCCGCAAAAACACTAACACCCTATGTGCTATCCTTTCTATTCTTGAGCCTCAGTTACACCGTAGAGGCAGCCCTTGGCAGGCGCTTTCCCTAAGCCTCCCAGTGGGCCTTTTTTCCTTTTTGTAGTCGTAGGTTCCTTATAACGTTACCCAATACGAGAAAGTGGAGGCCTTTTTGTTCCTAGTTTGCTGGGCATCCAGTTCCTAGCATCATGCTAAACCCTATGCTTGCCAGGAGGTCCCTAGACCCTTTATGGACCCACTGATAATATCCTTGGAAGCAGAAATGGAAAGGGAAGGACGGTCCGCTCAAGGTTGGAATTCTTTTGGTCATACACCCGACCCGCTTCTAATTCTGAAGGCCCTTCGACTAAAATGCTCGAAACCCGGCAATCATCCCCCCTAAACCCTAAACCAGGCATATTCGCACGACCAAGGGCCTTTTTGTCAAAGCTCCCAATGCGGCTAAGGAAATGCCCGTCGGGGGGGCCGCCACTTGGTTGGCAATAGGGGTTTAGGGATTAGGGGAATAGGCTGCAAAAAAAGGGGAATAGGCTGAAGGTACTCTGGTTCGATGGGGGTTACTGCGAGGGTTTTAGAAGGGGTACTACACGGGTTCTATACTAGAGGGTTCTCTGCATCGCTTCTCGATGTCGGGCGGGAGTCAGGTTTAGAGGCTGAGGGTTTAGGGTTATAGAGTGGCTTGGGCGAGCACATGCGACGACTCCTCGGCTTTTTGCTGTCCTCCCCAAGGTACTTGTGGTTTCGGCTGCCTTGTGTCCTTGCTATAGATGCAAGTGGTACAGCAGGTAAACCCGAGCACGATATTCATGAGAGCATAAGCATGCACGCACGGCTGAAATCCAAGTCCGAGAAACTTCTTGCATGCTCGTGCCACCGCACCTGTAAACTATGCCTGAGACCTCGAGGTGTCCTTTCCACACCTCTCAGTGTGTCCCAACATCGAAATATTCCGTTTGATTCTTAGCCACTGAATTCTAAACCTCTAAACCCCTAAACCCTAAATCCTACACCCTATAAACTAAACCCCAAACCCTAGGCTTAGTCCGCCTTGCCCCGCAGTGGGGCCCCTCTTGCGAAACTGGGCCATGACAACTACTTTCTGATGGTGCTCGTAGCAGCAAGCCCAAAGGGTCCTAGGTACTGGTTTACTGGTTTAGGGTTTTAGGGTTTAGGGTTTTAGGGTCTATAGGGTTTAGGATTCAGGATCGCTTGCCCAAAGGGTCCTAGGTACTGTTATGGGGCATACTTCCCCAAATCATAATAGTAATTCCTAATATGGA